CAACCCCTCTCACAAGGGAAATATCCAATTAATACTCCTTTCTTATATTTGATTTATGACACCAGGTCGTTCTTATCTAGACAGCCCAGTAATAAAATAACTGGCCGCGAAGCGAAGAGATTGAATTTCAATCCGTTGGGGTAAGGGGGGCAAAATTATTGGCGGAAATTAAGCAATAGCTACTGGACTGAGAAAGAGAGTATACCTCACCTAACCCACAGTTACAGTTACAACAAAATTATTTAAACCCCGTAGCATCCCCTAAACACTGACGGGCTAAATTACGGAAGGGCTCGAAATAGCAACAGTTACTTCCCCTACTATGTGTTTGGGGTAAACAACCCCATACTTCGCGTTAGAGGGGGTGAGATGTTAGGTGTTTGCCGTTTCCCTTACTGCTCCGCTTGTTTCACCGCTTCGCCTTTCTCCTTCTTCTAATCCTCCTACGCTCGTTCTTACTCGCTATTTGTCTTCTCTTTCCTTTAACATCTCTCCTTTTACATACCATTAGGATTTTAATTAATAACCGCTTAACGAACATTTCTACCGCCTTGCTCCCCTTCGGGGGCTTTTGATTTTGAGTATGTATTAAAAATAAAAAGTAAAGGACCAAGAATGAAATCATAAGAAAAGATAGGAAAGCTTACCTGCTTATTATTATAATGTGTGGTAAATAGGGGGGTGCTCATTGAGCGATTGTTATTCTTCACTAAAAATTTGAGAGAAAATAGTAACACTATTATTATTCCAGATCTGCCCTCTGGGCCCCCGAAGGGTGGATCTCAACAAAATGAGGTAGTGTATAATCTACATTTGAGAGGACTCTACCCCGCGACTGCGTCGCGGCTCGGTTTTTTCACCGCTACGCGGGCTTTTATTAATTACTTAACGTATTTTTGTTGGGTGGGTGGGAGTGGGTGAATTATGAATTGAATTGAGAACCTAGACATATTTAAGCCGGATTTTGTAATATCGTCAATTTCTCTTTATACTTCCAATAATTCAATCTTATACCCAACCCCGCGCCTTTGGGAGACTCATTGCCATACCCAAAGGACGGTTTGATTAATTATCTTTTGCAATGCTGGCTTACCATAGGTTAATTTAATTCTGCCCCAGATAACTGGTATGGTGCTGTAGCATCATTAGAAACAAGGGGCCAATTTCTTTCTATTACCCCCGCTTTCGCGGGATACATTGTGTATTATGTTTATAAAAGCCCCGGACTTTCCTTCGAGTCAAAAACCCCCCGATTGACTTCGTCGGGTTTTTGAGTTAACGATTATAGTTCCTAGGTTTGGTTCACACTATGCTCATTTAATGTCATTATAGAATATTCCTTATATAGTCTCGGAATGAGATAACGAGATAATAACGAATATAAGATAATTCTGGATTTGATTACGACCCTCAAATTTTTGAGGGGGGTTTAATCGATGCTGCTCCAGAAGATAAAACAGAGAGAACCACGGCACACTCAGGAGGAATATTCTTTCTTTTTTTTTATTTCAAATTTTACAAGGACCCCTTACCCGCCCTCACCAGAAATGGTTACCGTCTTGAATAATTAAGTTAATCTTGAAGAGTACGAGTCACTACGATTGGGCCCATCATTCCTAATAATAGGATTACAGAAAGTAGTAAAAGATATAGTACATACGGCTCATATAGTAATAACCCTAAAGATTCAATTTGATCAAATCTAATAAAGGAATTATCCCAGGAGAAACGTAAAATACGATGGTCCATATCTGTACTCATATTAAAGACACCAAAATCGTCATTGAATTTTAATACAAAGTAATTAAGTAAATCAAAAATAGAAAAATAAGAAAACTTGCCAACCACACTAAAATTATGAATTAACACTAAAAAAAGGGATCCGAGTAATAGTGCTAAGGGGTAATGTTGTGATTGTTCTACTCCATATTCTTGAATTTCGGCTAATTTGACGTTAATCATCATAACTACGAATAAAAATAGGATAGCAATTGCACCGACATAAATTACAATATATAAGATCCCAATGAAATTAATACCTAATAAAATTAAATAACAAGCTACATTAACAAAAACTGCAATTAAGAATAGCACTGAAATAATTGGATTGCGTGAAGTAATTACTAAAATTCCTGATAATACTGACCCAAAACTTAATAAATCTAATAGTGTTGTGTTCATATTGAAATTAATGAACCCCAGACTGCGCTCCGCGCGGTCACCCCGAAGGGGAGACTCCGCTCCGCGGGTCCATATTATTATATAATATAGACTTTTTGGGGATAAATTAAGAACATCGTCGTAATTCTTTGTTTTTTATTTAGTTTAAAACTTAACCCTCCGACCCATATACCCGGAGTTTGGGGAAACTCGCAGAGGGAGTACACTTCTCACGATAGATTAAGATAAAACTGAATTTCCCCCACCACTCGTAACGAGTGGTGGGGGTTAGATATCAGCCACCTGATCCTGGATCATGGGGTATTCAACCTAAAATCCCCCAATATAGGGTGATTTTTCCGAAAGGGGTCACATTTCAAGGGATACTCGATTAGACGGTGTTTTACCCATTCGGATCGGGCCTCCTTCCTCGGGGCTCATCTACACTCCGTGTATTTTTATTCTTAATAAAAAAGAAAATTGAAAAGGAGAAGGTCTTAGAATAAGGATCTAATTGATCTTTGGGTTATTATCTGAACGGCGAAGCCGTAGTTAGACTCGGAGAGGAGTTCTCTAATTTCTTTATATTCTAAATTCCCGTTATGAGAACTAAAAGAGTAGAAATTAATGTTTTGTTGGTTAAAAGATTATAAAACTTCTCCACCCCCGGGGCTCATTAACACTGCACAGAAAGAAATCGTTTTCCTTGTGATCAAGGGTGTTGAGAGTTTCTATTGTGCCTTCAATATCTTTGATATTGGTTACTTGAGATAAACTTTCAATGACCCTACCTCTGAACCTGATAGTAATACTGTTACTAAAACCCCAAGGTAGAGTAATCAAACGAAAGCAACTCGACTAAAATAAATAGCGGTAATCCGAAGGGAAATAAAATAATTCGATGACTGAAATGTTTTGAGAAATATTATCATTACTTTTATTGAATTTTTGAAGTAGGGGGTGGGGAGAGCGTGATTAAGCAGCGTATAATAATAAGAAAGCCATCATTAAAGCAAAAAGACCCAACGCCTCAGTGAGCGCGAAACCAAGAATAGCGTATGAAAAGAGTTGAGATCGTAAAGACGGATTTCGGCTAGTGGCTGTAATAAGAGAAGCAAATACAATTCCTACCCCAGTAGCAGCACCACCGATTGCAATAGTAGCTAATCCAGCTCCGAGAATTTTAGCAGAAGCGACCATAATAATTAACAATTAGACCAAGGATCTATTAGTTAAACAGGTGACTTTGCCCGCCTAACAGGCATCGAGAAACATACCACCCCGGAGGAGTAGTTTTATTACCTTTTTCCTTTTAAAAAGGGACCAAGGACTAATAGTGACAGATTATCCTGTCTCCAAAGAGAGGTATAATACGAAACATTCCCGATGGAATAGCGAGTCATCCGCCCTCGAAATACCTTCGACGTAGATTATTCTAACTTTAATTAAAGAATTTGGGAATAATTAACTAGAAAGATATTCCAATCCATCAAAATCGGGTCAAAATAAATACTAGCCAAACTTTCAAAAAGGTATAGAATGATAGGAAAAAGAGGGAGAAAGGGGGAATTTGTCTAGATTTATCTACATATCTCCTGACACCATACAATTTTCTTTATTATTAAATTTAATACCACACCTAAATAAGAAAGGGGGAAAAGAATAGCTAAAAAATAAAATAGAATTAAGTTAAATTAATGGAAATAACTAGAATGATAGGAAAAAGAGGGAGAAAGGGAGTGAACCCCTTTATTTTAATGAATTATAAGGCACAAAACCCTAATAAGTCGTTTAAAGATGGAAATTAGTCATCCAAAACCTAATCTAGTCTTCCGAATCTGAATCCGTCGAAAGGTTTGGGGAATAAATAGTTGTGTCATCAAGCAAATCAGAGCAAACACCAGAAAGGATAAGATCCCGATCCCTCATTGTATCCCGAAGGACCATAAGGATGTCAGGGTAAAGAGGATTGGAGGTGATATCATAATCAACTAAATGTGGAAAGACGAATGAAGGATTGGGGGCATGAGGGAGTAGGGTATCTAGATTCCAAGTTGTTAATAGACAACTATTAGTTAAAGTGGAAGTATCAAGACCAGCAAGAATTCCCATAGCAGTTGGAATATCTAATACCCCAGAACCACAAGCGAGTGCAGACATGGGACCAGTAAGGTTCAGAAGAACATACACAGGAGACATAGTTCCGTCGGAAAAAGTCTGAATAAATTGAAAGAAAACTAAAACAGGGTCATAGTTTATAATATCGGCAAATCGCCCGTGAATGTAGCCTAAAATAGTGGAAAAACTGTTATGATTAGTTGAATCACCGTTCATTGTATTACAATAATTAACAATTCGACCAAAGATCGATTAGTTAAACAGAGGACTTTGCCCGCCTAACAGGCATCGAGAAACATACCACCCCGAAAGAGTAGTTTTATTACCTTTTCCTTTTATATTTCCGAATTTCTTCTATAGTCCTGAAATAATTAGGAATTTGGAGTAGTGAGAACGTATCTTTGTGATGTTTCATGGTTTAAATTGTTTGAATTAGCTTAAGGAACATACTTAGAATAAACATACCCAAAGGAGCATGAAAGTTAGAAAAACAATCTTCCTTTCTTTTATATTAACCCGAAGGGCCGGATTTTAATTCTATACTACTTCTACGGCGAACAAAGGTAGAATTATCAAAATAATGTTGATTAAGAGTTATCTGTGGGGTATAATCAAATATTCAATTTCCTTCTCCCCCTCCGGCGGGCGCGAAGCGCAGTTGAGTACATAATTCAGATGACCTTATATTGAGAATTACAACCAATATGTACTCAGGACACCTGTGAGATAAGAGAGAGTCGAACTCCCATTGGGTACTAAGACCTTCTAGACTACAGCTAGATGCAAAACCATTCTGCCATTATCTCTCTTAAGGGAGGAGTTCTAACCTGAAAGGATTACCCCCTAAGCCTTTTACCCAGCTTTCTATTATTGATGTTGTTTAGTGCGATGCGCGCTGCTACCCTCCGGGTCTTTTTATTTTGAATAAAACACGGATTAAAAGATAGTGACTCTAAACAGACCCTTAACAATTTTTCCATGTTTGATGACTAGAGATACAGCTGGTTGCGAAACCCCACTGCCCTCCGGGCGCTTTATTATTTTATTTAATAAAGAGGAATTTACTTTAATTTACTTTTATACCATTCCCATTTCCATTCCTTTTCAAAAAGCCTTTTTATTTTTAATACATACTAAAAATAAAAAGTGGCGGAGCCAGGTTAGAAATTCGCTCACTCTTGGCAAATCTTAAAGAAGAGTAGTTTTTATTAGTAAGGGGGATAATAATGTTATACTAAATCTCTACCCATACCAGCGACACTATAAGGAACTCTTACTTGCCCATCAATGAATTTTGCTTATATTGCTGAGCTCACCTTAGAAAAGTTATCATGGGTGATGCTATTACAGTTACTAGAGAGATTTTCATTAAAAACAATCATAACGACACTTTAAACCGAGGTTAGATGACAAGAACTCTAACTTTAGATGATACATTAGAAATAAAAGAATACTCCCCCACCTATCCCATCTTACCCCCCTTCGGGGGCTTTTTATTTTTACCCGGAGGGCCGTATTGATTAAAAAGAAAAAGGAAAAAGAACGCACTATTCTTTCTATATTGATTGATAGAGGGTTAGGCTGACGCTTCCTCTCCTTTTACCCTCACCGTTTATCTGGCATTATCTTGATTCCTATAGATTTTGTGCATTATTACCCCATTTGGCTTATTATTGGTGAGGCTTCCCTTCGGGAGGCCCGCGCGAAGCGCAGGCTGGAAACGTGCATTTTGACCAGATTCTGCCTCACCTATTGGATTGCACTAAATGAGCGATTCTTGATTTAATAAATAAGAGTTGACCTCAACCGGATTCGAACCGGTGTTTCCGCAGTGAAGTTGCAGTGGCCTTTTCCTCTAGCCGATGGGGTCACATAGAAATAAGGGGGTAAATACCACATGATTTAGTACCCTTTGGTGGGGCCTGGCGAGTTTTCTATTACCTCCAAACAAAAACTAAGGTTTTGAGCGGGCTTCCAGTACGGGACGTAATCAAGGAAAAACCGGTGTTTTTATTCTGTCTACGAAATCATGAGGTCAGGGGGAGGAACTATGTTAATTTGTGCGAGTGATTGATTTGAACAATCTCTTCAAGATCATGAGCCTTGGATGCTACCATTACACCAACTCGCAATATAACTAGGAGTTCACTCTGCGCTTTGCGCCATGGACAGAGAAGGTTTCTGACTTCTACCTCCTTTCCTTTTACTTTGCGAGCCCTTTAATTAAATTAGACTTAATCACCCCCCATAATGACCTGATAAATTTTCATTTTAGTTCGTTTTCTGGCACTATATTAATTCTCCCCCGGGGAGTAAATGTAGCTTCCTAACTCTATACATTCGTTGATCCACGGGACGCCATCGATCCACCCCCTGCGCTTCGCGCCCGCCGAAGGCGAGATGATGGTATAAAAGTAAGGTTATTTTCCTGTACAATGAGATTATAGAAGTAAGCCAATGCACGGTTGTGATGAAATTGGTTAGACATTTAGTGCTTAGGACACTATGATTGAAATATCGTATCGGTTCAAATCCGATCAACCGTAGGTAAAGCATTATATTATTTCTTGTGAAGGAGTAGACGAATTACCCCGTGTAATGCAATTTGATAACCTTCATTGTACTGAATCCTTAAGGGAGGCTAAGACTGCTCTTAAAGATACTCCGCTCCGCGGGCCCTCCGGGGCTGGAATTTATTGTATTGCTAATCAAGAAACGGGTCAAATTTATATTGGGTCATCGGTGGATCTCCATGGTAGAATAATGGATCATCTTATCTAGAATGATTATTCTAATACAGATTTACAACGTGCTATTGTCAAGTACGGGTTGGCTGCTTTTATTTTCTTGGTAGTGGAGCAGTGTACTAAAGAGTCCCTACTTGAAAGAGAACCGTACTGGTTAAATTGGCTTTTTTCTTTACCTGAACATCTAAGATACAATTTTTTACCAACTGCTGGTTCTTTACTTGGATTTAAACACTCGGACCCGTGGGCTCCGGCCCTTCGGGAAAAAGGGGGACTAATTTTAATGATTCATAAGGAACGTCGCCACGAGGGAAACCAGCAATAACGGGAGAAAGGGAGAAATCAGTGTATTAGTAGAAGACAGATTAGGAAATCGTTAAGTTCTGGGCTTCCTTTGTGTTAATCACCTTTAGCTTAATTGGTTAGAGTACGAATCTTCGAAATTCGGCGGTGAGAGTTCGAATCTCTCAGGGTGTTTTTGATCCATTTTTCTAGGTCTAAAGGGCCCCAAATACGTTGGCGCCCTTCCGAACATAGTTCGAGCGGGGGATATGGTGGATGTAGTTCAACAGGTAGAGCATTAGTTTGTGGTACTAATTATTCCAGTTCAAGTCTGGACATTCACCCTTCTTTATTCTAAATAATATAATAAAGGCCCCCAAAGGGGGAACATCGTCGGCCGTTAACCGGGGGGAGTAATTTAATCAAGCCCGCGGGGAGATATTAGAAGGACCATGGTATGAACCTTGACTAAACGGGGAATAAAATATGGAATAATCTTTACCTTTTGCGAGGGAAAACCAGTATAAAAGTAATAATTTAATCCACGCATGTGACAAAGAACTTGCCGTAATAATTCATAAGTATAAGGAATAAAGGATTATAATTAACTGTCCGAAATTGAATAATGTTTATTTCAAGTTCATTCTAGGACCAAGAGGGGGCGTTTGCCTAAGTAATGCGGACAGAATCAAATCTTTGATTTGTAATATAGGAGTAGATCAAAATTTCTACCCCCTTGGGGTAACTTACCTAATTTGATATTCTGGATAGATTCCCTCTTCTTTAGAAAAATATAAGGAAGGGTAAATTCTAAAATAAGAATACCCAAGTCTTCTCTAACTTGCGGGAACATTAATAAACATAATAACAACAACCAGAACAAAGGCCCCTCCGGGGATATTTACTATGCACTTTACACTAATCCTATTTAGAACCTATTTAAGTTCTGCGGCAGAGCGACTATTGTAATTCCCCCTTATATTATGGAAGTAATTACTGGGATGCAGCTAGGCGATTCTTACATTTCGAAACCGTCTTCGACCGGTCAATCTAATCTTCAATTTCTGCAAGCCTCTCAGGAGTTCGTAATCTTTTTATACTATTTGTTTTCCCCACTCGGGATTGTAGGTGCAACACCTTATACTAAATCATATTCTGATAAAAGGACAGGGAAGATTTATACCAGTTATGGATTTAAAACTGTTATTTTACCAGTATTTGCTACAATATATTTAGAATGGTATACTATTATCAATGGTGGATCTATCAAACATCTACCGGTCAACATCTTTGATTTACTTACTCCAGTAGCAATTGCCTTTTGGATTTCCTGTGATGGTAGTTATAGCCGTCGGGATGGTGTAATTACCTTGAGTACGGATTCTTATACTTTAGTCGAGGTTCAATTATTGCAAACAATTCTTTAATATAAATTCTCTATTAATTCTTCAATCGGGACACATGGTAAAGCCGGTCAGTACAGAATTCGTATCGCTAAAGGTTCTATGGCTAGATTACAGTCGCTTATTGCACCCCATATGCCACCAATGATGGCATATCGAGCGGGTTTATAAAGATTTGTTATTCAGATTTTGACCCACGTCTAAGAACACGTGTAGCCCTTTCAAAAGACCAAAACAGGATAGTTGGCTGAGCGGTCTAAAGCATTCCATTTGAGCTGGAACTATGAAAATTCATACGAGAGTTCGAATCTCTCTCTATCCTCCGCTCCGCGGGCCCCAGGGGGGCAGTTGTTTATAAGTTATCAAAACCTGGTTATTCACGCGGCTAAAAATGGGTTATCTCTCCCCGCCTTCGGCGGAGTAACTTTATTGAGGCATTTGCATCCATTGTAGTAGAATGGGTTGAAATTCTAGTGGGTTCTTCTACTCTTGCTATTACATCCCTTCTACTTTCAAGAGAACAATTTTATCTTAATTGGCTCTTTTCTTTACCTTCTGATACGCGATATAATTTCTTACCGCTAGCTGGTACAACATTAGGTCATACGCCTTCAGCTGAAACGAAAGTTAGTGCATCTCAGTAGGGGGCACTCAATCCAATGCTTGGTTTAGCCTCCCCTAACAGAGTTAGGATTTATGTTTATTCATTGGATGGAGAGTTAGTCCAAGAATGGCCTTCATCCGCGGTATCTGGATTAAAGATTTCACGCCGTACTTTACGAAAATATCTGATTTCAGGACGACCTTACAAAGGTCAAACTTTTAGTTATTCTCCTTACCCTGTCAAAGATGGTATGTAATTAATATTGCAGTTATATGCCATTTGCATTCCCTCCCCACCTTCCAGCTTATATTAAGAAGTTTACTTGGAGAAATTGGAAAACTCGTCGGCGTTAAGTCCCGATGCCATAAGCTTGTGGGTTCAAGTCCCTCAGTAAACATAATACTGGTTAGAATAGATATACCCATGTCATTTCAGTAGGCATTTTCTCTTTAATTGCCTTATCCATTTTCTCAAGAACCTTACCATTAACATTTTTAAGTTCAGATACTTCGAATAAATTAAAAAGACTTGAATAAAGAGAGTCAATATTTAGTGCATAGAATCTTCCAACTTCTCTATTTATGTTGAGATTAGGTTCAGGGTGTGGCGTTTACTATGATTTATCCCAAGTAACTACAGGAGTTATGTCTTGTAAAGGTCTATTGTATTTTTGTTTATTACATTTTGTGGATGCAATTATAATGGATGTGTTTTATAGTGTATTAGCAATTCAAATGATTTATTTAATGTGGCTCTCTTTTGTTTTATTATTAGGACCCATTATGAGAATGTTTATTAGAATGCTATTCATTATTTGGTTATTTATTTATGGTTTTGTTGAAACGACTTTATGGAATTAGGTAAAACTCTATTACGGGGATTATCTCCTAATTTGCGTAGATTGTTGAAACAACCATCTGTGAAATTAATTTCTAGATTATATGCGGGTTTTGATACAGAGTATGTAACTAAAGAGTATGGTAGTGCTAAATTAGTATCATATCAACTAGCGGTCTCTTCCCGATTATTGATTAAATGCTTAAATGTTGAAGATCGATTGGATGTTAATGAATTAATGTTAGCTACAGGTGAAAAAGTATTAACAGAAACGAGATTATCTGGGAATCCTTCGGTTATTGCATTACAAGAGGTGCTAAATGATTTGATTTCTACGGTTAGATCTGGTTATGATAGAAGAGTGTATGAATTTATTGAAGAATTGGATACTTTACACTCGTTAGGTTTACTACATAAATCTACTACTGATAAGTGGTTGAATTATACAGTATTAAAAGAACCTTCGAATAGAATCCCCTCGGATCAAACGTATCTAGAGTTTGTAAGTAATTTGAGTTTAAATGATGTGGTAAAACGGATTAAAGATATAGGAGTTCCATTATTGAAAGAAGATTGGCGGGAGTTATCTCATATCCTTAAAGGGGAAACTTTAGTATTGAGTGAATCTCATATCCTTAAAGGGGAAACTTTAGTATTGAGTGAATCGAGTAGTCTTTTGAGCTTAATTTCTGATTGTGAATGTGAAGTTGAGTCTGAAGTTGAATCTAAAGTTGAATCTAATCCTCCTTTGATCAGAGAAACCCATGTGTTAAATCCTAGATTAAACGATATTTTCAAGAGTTTAGAGTTATATTTAATGGCTCATATGAGTTCTGCGGATTTATCTTTATTATCGGATTTTGATAGTTTTAAACATGAGGTTGATTTAATTCATAAGAATTTTGTAACGTTAGGAAGACCCTATGTAGTAAAATTAGAGGATAAAACCAGTGTATCAGTCCATATT